AGAGGACGAGCATTCTATATTCATACCGTCACAGCTTAAAAATGTGTATAATGAAAGTAAATTTAATTCTTTTCATATTAATGCAATCATTAAAATTAATGGCTTCAAGCTATTTAAGTTCAATGGATTAACACCAGCACTACTTTTCATTTGGCATGAAACTGTCCAAAGTTTATTATCTCAAAAAGGTGAAGCAGAGATGTTTTGAAAATTGACTTTCGCCCAAAGTGAATGATTTGTATCTATTTGCCTGATAGAGCAGACATGCCCATTCACGTCATGGTTCTGGATACAACACATAACTTAGCCTCTAACATGTGCAAAAACTCTAAATAAACATATGAATTTTTCAAAATTCTCAGGGAGACTTTGAATTTTGATTTTGGAAGTCAATCGGCAAAAAAGCAGTTCTAATGTTTTATATGGAAGACGTTGTTTGAAGTTTTCCTATGATCATTGAGGTTTCAAATTAATCGTAGGTTTCCTTCTCAGCCTTTTCCCCAACTTCTACAACTGCCACTGCAGATTTCCCACAATTTGTCAACTTTACTACATGCAGCTTCTATGGGTGGTACCCACAAAAGTGCAAGTAACGAAATAATTTCCTAAACAAGATGGCTTAATTTTTGCAGCTCCATTTTCCTATATTCTAAAATTATTTTTCCTTGTTGTATTTGAGTGCATTTAGGAAAGCCAATTCTCACAGGAAAATTTTCCAACATTCCACTGTAGAAATTCAACTTTTTTTTTTAAATTCTTGTATTGACCTTGATCTATTTAAATAAGAAAAGCCATTTCACCGAGTCATTTCTGACCGTTGATTAAGTCCACCCCAATTTGAAACCTGCATCATTCAGCAACTACATGGACACACGTTGAAGCCAGGAGATGGGATGGACCCAGAAGCAAAGATGCTGAAGTCAATATTTACTTGCGGTAATTGCCCCTCTCCCTTCTCCCAGCGAGCCATGCGTTCGTCCCGAGTCCTCCTTATCTCCTCCAGCCCTACTACAGCTGTTGTGCATTATGTCCTCTATGGCCATAAGAGTAAAAGCACACCAGATGAATGGAAGAGCATGGATACCGTCATGTCCATTACAGTATTGTAGGTCACCTTGGGAGTGGCGCGATGCCCAATGAGCACCGTGCTGGAGTTAACAAGCTCACAATGCAGCCTGTAATAAGCGCTACATCTACACTGGTAACAAGGTGGGCCAGTTCGTTTGGCTCCACATAGCAGTTAGAGAGCTTCATTGCCTGTCTCATGGTCATGGGCTTGCTCAGTGGAAAGATTTGTGGCTGGCAGTGTCTATATCTCATGGGGCAAGACGAGTCCTTGGTCAAGCATTTTGCGTAGAGCCAGCTAAAACCAGGCTAATCTCCACACTCAAAGCAACTTTCCAATTAACCTGAGGCCTCCAAAGCGCCTTAAAATAATTTCAGAATGACGAAGGTCTATGTAAGGGGATTTGGTCTCCATCAGTGGAAGCTAGTCATATGGGGATAAAAGAAGTAAGTCAATAAAAAGAATGAAGCAAAGTTTAGCGGAATCAAGAAGTATAGCAATTTACCAGTTAGAACAATGTGGATCAGGGATGTCAAAGTCAAATAATACAAGCTGAGGCCAGACTGGTTCAATGTTTAAACGTATTGCAATGAGTGCATATAACCTATTGAACCAAGACCTAACAAAGTGTACAGTATTTTGTTTAATGATTACATGAATAATTCCATATTTTTGTATGGCTCTGGCAGTCATTTCAAGTTAAAAATATTTTTCAACGGACTCAGAGACAAAAACAAACTTCCTCCAAAGAAAAAACACATGTAATTTATGGCTCACATTTCTTATAGGTCTTTGTGGGCCGGTTCTAATACTAATACTCACAGTAATTATATTATATTATAGTAAGTATATGCTGTGTATAGCAGTTCTACCAGCCACAGCCAATAGTCAAATGTACATTCTCCTCACACCTTTTGTCTCATGTACTGTGATGTTTGTGATGAGAGGATTCTTCTGTCAGAACAAATAAACAAGACGAGGAAGGGCAGGGTCACGGGAGCACAGTGCTCGGCCTATAGGTCTCTTTTCTCCTCAAACTACAAATTCTACTTTTATATCAGAAAGGCTTCACCCTTCAAATAAAAAATCCACATGGGCCAACGCTGACAGCAATAGTTTTTTTGTTTTCTGTTGTTGTTTGGACCAGTGAGCTCAACACTATAATTCCAAACTTTTCTCCTTAAATTACTAGAAGCGTTCTTTATTGCAAGAGACAAAAGTAGCTTGCATCAGTCCCGCGGAGAATAAAAAGGTTGTGACGTCTCACTAAAGAGAACTTCTGCAAGGTGTGTTCGCCCCGCCGCAGTGGAAGGGCAGCATGATGTAAGAGCAGATTATGTGTGTGTCAGGTGCTCTGCTCTCCTGCAGTGCAAATCAAAATCCTGCTCAGAACAGGCAAGAGCATAATTATTTTTGCTGTGGCGCACAAGAAAGAAGCCTGGAAGAATATAATCTCTTGCTGAGAAATAATTGTAAAAAAAGGAAGCAAAAATGGCTTATTCAGGCATATTTTTTCATGCATCTCTGAACGCAGTGTATATAGCGCTGCTAACTGTAACTCGGTATTGTACCTTATTGGACTGTATTTTAATATGTATGCTGGTAACTTTTTATTGAACAGTATTTTGATTTATATATGTTGGTGACTTGCACTTTTTATTGAACAGCATTTTGATATATATATATATATATATATATGTTGGTGACTTGTTGGTGTTGGTGACTTGCACTTTTTAGTTACATGGTGGAAAGGAGGAAGGACCCAAAATTCAATACTGCAAAAATAATATACTTTAATAAATAAGAATCCAAAAATCAAAACTGTAAAAACACAGGAACTGAAGACGAAGACAAGAACCACAGAACAAACATTCAATCGACTGACAACAAGAGGGTAGAGCACAGGGAATTTAACTCGGACACACAGGTGAAACACAACAGGGCGGGGCAGGCAATCAGAAAATAAAACAGGAACTAGAAATGACAACCATGACGCTTTTATTGAAATGTTTTTTCATATGTATTTTAGAATCTTGCACTTTTGTCGAACTGTATTTTAATATGTAAGTTAGCAACCTGCACTTTTTATTTTAACTGTATGTCAATAAGCAAGTTAAATGATTGCATTGTCAAGGACTACATATGGAAAGAAACATGGTGCTAAATCTGATGCAGCCATTTTAATGCAACTGCATATTGTCCTTAATAAATTATGTAAGTAAAGTACGTAAAATACATTTAGGAATGCATTTATGACCAGATTCTGTAACTATTTCAGACCATTTTTTTGTGTATATGCTGCTACAGAATGATAGCAGCTCATTTTGAGTCCTCACCTGCCTGTGTTGGGTGTTCGTGAGCGATGGAGCCGGTCAAAGGCGACTATACTTTGCAACCACAACTTTCAGAGTGGGTTATTTTGGGCAACTTCTCTTTCCACCTCTTCTGACTCCTACTCCCATTATGCCCTGGCTGCAGGTGCACTCTTTACCTTGAGTGACTCCGCTTTGCAATCACAGTGTTCCACCACCTGCCTTGTGCTTATTGCCGACGATAGTTCTCGTTACGACCAAAACTTCCCACTGCACCGTGTCATTCTCCAGCTTACAACCCCTACCTCACATTCTGACCCATTATACAAGCCATTCCAAACCATATGCATTGTATAAATATCTCTGAATGCAGACTTAAATGTATTCAGATTTCATTTTGTTTATGAGAGGTCTATGGAGCTTGCACCCTTATCTCCTGCTGTAGTGCCATATCAGCAGACTTAACTTGACACTAGCGCCCACAGCACTGTTAACACTGTTGACCCTTTTTGCATTTGTATTCATGCCTGTGCGCTGTTTATTTTCTGAATATGATACAGGCTTCACCACCTCTAATAATGCTGTATTTAGAGAAAAGAGATGGCGTTGCAATGCGAGTGTACTTCACATTACCATTTCATTGCAGGGCCAGACAAAAATGGAACTAGTCTGGTTTTCAGGAGACATAAAAGTGTATACGCTAGACTGACCTCAGGACTGTGCTCAGTAAATCTATAAAACTATTTCTAGCAGCGACCACGCCACAACAATAGAATTCCATTGAAATACATTAGTCTCAGAAAGAAACTTTGTGATGGCTGGGCGAGAGACTCAGAGTGGGGGCTTCGTCGCAGGTGATCAACTGGTTCAAGACCCCTGTGATGATGTTCGAGGGCGCAAGACAGATGAGAGACCTTGGGGACAGGGAAAGCTAGAATACAGGCTTTCTGGGTGATAGAGTATGTCAATATGAATCTCTCCAGTTCTCCAGACTTGTCGAGGGGCAGACAACCGGGATTATAAAACTGCTTTTACTGAGTTTGAGCAGGACTGGGCTTTAATATTGGTTACCATATGTCTATATTGATTCACACCACCGCAACACTGGTGCCATTTTGTGACACAATTAAAAACAAAAGTCTTTATGTACAACTGAAGTTAATGGCTGAAATTTAAAGGCTCTGAGCTTTACAACAAGGTACAGCATGACTAGACAGGTGGAGCTGAAGTTGGCTGGATAACACTATTAAAGTACCTCAATGGCTAGTTTGTGCAAGCATAGGGCCAAAGACAATGACGCAATGGGCCGTATTTGGCTTGCAGGTTTTGGTTTGGACATGGCAGTTGTAGATTAAATTGGTCAAGATAGGTTAAGTTTCTTCAAACCAGGGAAGACCCAAGACTCACCAAGGTCTCAGCTGGTCTGGGAAAGTCAGCTGAGACCTCCGAAGTGTTGATCGGGAGGCCTGGGCTTCTGAATGGATGGATTATCGAAATACAAGATTTGCCGTGTTTGCACTTGTCGTTGCTTGCCTTCTCTGCTCAGTGGCTCTGCTGTACAAATGTTAGTCTGAATTTACTCATTTAAAGCTTTTCTTTATGTCTTTCCCTTCATTCAACAGAGGCCCAGCTTCTCCCAGGAAACAACTTCACCACCGAGTGTAACATCCCTGGGAACTTTATGTGTGGTGATGGCAAGTGTGTCCCCGGGGGCTGGCAATGCGACGGACTTCCCGACTGCTTCGACAAGAGTGACGAGAAAGGCTGTCGTAAGTTGGACGTTTTCAACCCTTTTTATCACTCCCTATTTATTCCCCAATCTCTATTCACCAATGAAAAACTACGCTGAGATTAATTTCCCAGACCCCTGGCTACATTTTAGTACCAGGGTCGAGCTTAATACCATCAAAGGAAGCGTCCGATTACTTGTGGACACAGTAATGGAAGCACATGCATAATTCTACAGTAAGGGCAGAGTGGCTAATAGTGGAGTCTTGATCCGCGGTTTAAGTGACTTTGATCTTTTCGGACTGCTTCTCCTCCCTCTCCCCGGCCGCTTCCTCCACCTCGTCTCTACAGGCGGATGGTGTTGCTAATGCAGATGGACTCGGTGTTTCTGAATGAAAGTATCCAGTGCTGATAAATCAGTCCGACTTCAGCTCCATCCCTTCACCATGAGATGAGCTCTGAGGTCGGGTTGCTAATTTGCTTCTTTGGGCGATTGTTTTCAATTATAACAGCACTGCCCCCAAGATTGAAAGGGATTCATTTTTCCCTAAACTAATTCTCTCCTTTTTCTCATTTTCTTCTCTGCTCCTGTTGGCAAGAAAAAAACAATTAGACAAGAATCCAACCCTTTGAATGGCAAGCATTGTAACACATTGTGGCAGGAGACTGGAGTTCAAATACAAGAGGACTTTATTAATTTAAGGACTAGGGACAGCGACTCTTCAGACATTAGGACGTAGAAAGGGATACGCACCTAAATTTGATACATTTCAATTTACACCAGGTGTTCATACTTATTATGCCTGACCGCTGTCTTCCCCACAGAGATATGCCTGGCCATGTCACGGTGACGTGTACAAAAATCGGAATCCATTCTATTCATAGCACCGTGCAACACAATTAAGCCTGTTATATGCACGTATTTCACTGCTGGTATAAATTGTCAAACTAATTTAAATGAAAAAATATTCTTGGAGGAAGACGGGCAGTAGACTCTAGATATAAATTGAGGGTCCATGTGCTGTCCAGTCCACACATCTACAATAATCTGCCTATGCATCCGCTGTTTTGAGCGTATAATAATGACTATAGACGCTAGCAGTCAGTCAGCATGTCCTTGATGCACTTTTCCTCTAGCAGTCGGAGTTAAGAATAATTCAATATTTCAACATGATCATAAATCTTCTGTTCTCCAATCTGTTAATGCCTACAAGTCAAAAGTTATAGTCAGAATCAGAAAAGCAATAACACAGCTCAGATCTCGGATTGAAATTTCCCTATGTACCAGCATGGATCACCACCACCTTAGATGTAAAATAGGAAAAACACAAGATTGATCATGGCTAAATATATATGCAATTATATAACTAACATATTTTTCTATGCATTGATGGAGTCACATGGCCTTGCTGTTCCTTTTTGATGAACATTTCTGACATTTATGCACAGAGAGAGCGAGGAGTGAATGAGGGGGGAAGCAAAGTAAAGCAACTGCGAGTCTCCAAAGGAAGCATTATATAAGGCCGCAGAGATGGTTGCAATAAAAAAATGAAAGAAAAAACATCCAAAACAGATTCATATTGCAATGTCTTCTTGTTATGTCAAGAGGTGTTTTTTTTTATTTTTTCCTGGAGCAATGCATCATTCAACATCCTATTAGCTGGTTGGAAAAAAGAAGAAGCATTGCATGGATATTGCGTCATTGCTTCCTTCTTTAGAGGAACAGGGCTTTTCATGTGTCATATGTGAGCAGCCATGTCACAGTGGCACCTGTGTTTTAACAAAGGATTCATTTTTAGGCTGTGGCAAAGGCAATCTGACTGTCAAAATGGCTTTCGTGTATATTGTCAACATGCACAGGGCTGTAATGGGTTTTATTATTGCTGTAATAGAGGGTTAGCTGCGCGTCGATATCACTTCAGAGATGACAGCCCAGTGTCATTACAGTCGCCGAAGACTGGGAACAATGCATTCTGGGAAAATGAAGGCAGCGCACTTATTAGCGTCTGAAACAAACGCTTTGGAAACTGTACCGTTGAGTTGGATAATTAAAAAGTTATTCTATTTATTGCAGTGTAGGTGGCGGCAAATTGGATGGTAATGATGACAGTCTGTTACATGTTGTGAAACCGTGAGGAGGACGGAAACAAACAAAAAATGCTTTGTTTTTTTAGTAGTTTGAAGGCGTTTAATTGAAAGGGTTTTTTGTTTTGTTTTTTTTTATGTATTGGAGTAAATATTATGCAGGGCTCTCACTGGTTGGAAAGTTTTTATTGCTTTTTTCTTTGCTCCAATCCAAATTCCTATGCAGACTCAGTTCCTCTCCTTGTAATGTGGTTATAATCAATATTTTTGTATAAACCTCTATTTTGGGCTCTTATCTTATCGGCTATTTTCCTGTGGGCTTCGCTATGAGAATTTATGAAGATATTTCATGTGGGCAGTGTTGAGCCGGCCCAGGAACTGGCAATGTATGCACAGCCTGAGGTAAAGGTCACATGTGCTGATAACTCCCCCATGTTCTTTTAATGAGATTTTTTATGTATTAATTTTTCCCTGGTTTTTCCTCTCTGATGGCTCAAACCAAAGATACCAACACATACATTTCCTTTTATGCTCTTTTTTTTACTATTTACTATGTGATTTACATCTATTTAAAATTACCCAACCTAATATACGCTATTCTTTCTTTAGCTGACTTCCACATCTGCTTATTTTCCATTTTCCCCTCTGTGACTATTGGGTTGCTGAGAAATTCAATTCATTATTATTTATCAAAAGTAGTATTGTTGTGATAATGCTTAAACTTGTCTTTGAAACTACTAGACCCATACTAAAATAAAAGCAATGAGAAACATCCTGAAAATAATCTCAGACAATAGTGGGATATGATGAGATAAGATACAGTTTCATTGATCTCACAATCAAGAAATATACACATTTGGCCTCAGTACCATCACCCAAGTTTTGCAAATATTCAGGAAATGTGCAAACAGTTAAAATGTAAAAAATATAAAATGTATAAGGCATCTTGTATACAATAAAGGTACAATAAAAATCAAGAAAGCCATTAAGAAATACAATGAACATGATGGCCACGATTCCCAAGCAAATGATCCAATCAGAGAGCAGAATGAGGGCTGTCAGTTTGTTGAGAGAGATAGAACTGTTTTAAATAAAAATATAGCATATTTAAATGAAACCAGGTCAGAAAATAAGTCTGGTAAATATGTTAAACCCCAGCAGGTGGTTTGCATCTGTTATCAGTGCTATAGGAGCTATTTTGGTAACAAAACAAAAATGGTGAATGCTAACTTTTTTAGAATCAAGTCCTGCTTATCGTTTAAGGACAAAACAATTACTGGTGGTTATTCGTTGTCATCCAGGCTTTAATTATGGAGACATCCTTTACAGACAGACCTCCGCTCAGTCACTTTTGTCTCTGGATACAGTTTATCACAAAGCTCTTAGATTCATCCCAAACCTCCACTCACTCGCTCACCGCTGTGCCCTGTATGAACGCGTTGTATGGGTCCCTCTCTCCTCATGTTTTGTTCATTGGCCCATGTTCATCCATAAATGCTCATTAGGTTTTCCGCCCTCATATCTTCAGTCGCGCATTAGACACAAGCAAACTATAATTTCAGCTTTGCAGGACCGCTTCCTCCTAGTTAGGAGTCCCCCGAGTCTGGACTGAGAGGGAGCTTTTCAATTTAGTGCCCCACAGAGTGGAATCAGATACTGTACAGAATGAGCTGTGTATTCAAGAGCTGGTCTCTCTATGTTGACAGTGTATGTAAATGTTTTTGACTGATTATAATATTCTTTTCGATGCAATCTTTGTGTTCTCCAATCGATAGACATACATTTAATTGGGTTTTAAACTTGTCAAAAAAATAAGGATTATGCCAATACAACGAGAGAGAACAGATCTATAATAACTAAATAACTAAGAACTAAATGACTAGACGTGCCATACTGATTAAATACAAAAAAAAACTAAAATGAAAATAAACTCCATCAAATACGTTTTTCATACAGTTTTGGATATTTTAAAAGTATCAATATCTTGTTAAATAATACATGTTAAGATTACCTAATAACTAAAACATAATCAATAGCTGCTTCCTTTTTGTACACCCTGGCAGGAGAATGACATCTTCACACAGAGGGTGGAGCAGTCTGTCACTAAAGCTGCTCTCAGAGGCCATTCCTGTTGAATCCAATAATGGCAGTGTCACACAGCTGCCATTAGCTTTCAGTGCCCGCAGTGAAGTTAAATTAATTCATGAAGTTGACATATAGGTTTAATTAACCCCAGAGGCTTTGTTTCACTTTGTCCCTTGAAAAACATACATTTTAGCAAATCAGACAAATCTTTAGATTCATATGATTTTATAATTACTTGATTGGTATAGTTCATTCTGTTCAATCTCTACATGCTGTCAGTTAATTAATATGCAGCAACATGTCCTTTAACAACTACACAGGCTACGCTCTATGATATCGATGTCTCAGTGACTGCAGGAGAACATGGACCAGTGGACTATGTGTACTTTAAATTAAATTAAAAAATTAAAACTATTATTAAACCACAACTCTAGTCACAACTGCCATGTTTATTAGAAAAATCTCAATGAGATATTTTGCCAAAGTCGTTACGCCCTCGTGAAATTTGGCCTTCGGTATATATTCTCTAAACAATGTCAGCTCCCTCTGCGATTTGTTTGTTTGCTCTCATTCCCTGCAGCAAAAAGTCAACGGGAATTACAAGCCATCATGTTGTGAAGAAACATTATGTTGTTTATGAGACTGGCATCCACCTGAGCGTAAAGCCCAGAGTACACCTGTTAATATGTTGGATTTACAGCATGGGGGCTTACTGCAGTTTTCACTCTTTTCCAAAATTGTAAAAATTGTTGAGGCCAAAATCTGTGTTCAGCTTAAAGCGTTTAACATGAACTCTGAGGAGCACAGGGACTGGCCCCGTGCTGGTGCCCAGAGACAGGACTAAACATGGGGAGGCAGCGTTTCAGATTCA